TACCTAATTCTCAAATTGACCGATAGGATTTTAAGTGCATGTTTGGTAAGTGATTAAATTATAAGCCCATGTTTGGTACACATTAAAATTTTCATTTTCGTTATTCTACTCATTTTCAACCTCACATTCTTCAATAAAATAATATTTTACATCACATTAATAATTTTTCTTTTTTTTTTTCAACCAGACAACCACACACTCCATCAATCTACTATTCCAAAATACATTCTTTCAAAATAATGTGGCTCAAACACACCCTAATTTAAGATATTATAAGTTGTGGTCCTATGGGAATGTGGGGGATAATAAGTGTATAATAGTTGTGGTTCCTACGAAAACTTGTGGATAAAAATTATGTTTGATTAAAAGTGATTAAATTATAATCATTGTCCACATATGCACTAATACATGATATTTATTAAGCAACCGTATAAATTTAGTATTTCAGTAATATTAAATTCCTCAAATAAAATGACGTGGGCGAAAAATATCTTGCGCTCAAACCTTAAGGGCTTTTTCTTCCCAAATCCTGGGCAAAGGTGTAGACTTTTTTGTATTTCGAGGAGGAAAAACTGCATGTATGTTTGAGCGTTAATACTGTAGCAGGATTGAGCATGATAGTGTACCCTGTTTGTCTTTTGGCTTTGTAGCTTGTGTTGCACATGCATGTAAGAATTTGATTTCCTCGAGGGATGCTCCATATCTGTATATATGAGAATTTGGTTTGATGGAGGTCGTGCTTCTCCACAAACTACAGGTTTGCAGACGGTGGGATGTGTCATCTGTCATTCCTGGGAATGACGACCGACTGAGATGTGAACCGATAACGTATCAGCTTGGTCCTGATTAGACCAGTAAAATAATGAATAAAGAACCAAGAAATATGGACATTTTCTGTATTTTATTGCTATTTGAACGGAAAAAGCTGCATGGATCCTTATTTACTTGTCATTGTTAGTGAAATATACTTCACCCTACACTTGGGGTAACTTGGAATTCCAGATCTAATGTTAAATT